ACGGCCCAGATTCAATAAAAAACGGACGGCCCAGATTTAATCAAAATGGACGGCTATGATCAAAAGGCAAAAGGGTATAAATAGAACCCCCACACCTGACCACAAAAACCCTAGCCGCTTGCCCTCGCCGGAGAAGACGAACCAGACGCCGGAGGAGCCGGCCGCCGCCACCCGTCGCCGCACCGGGGAGTTTTTCGACCGCCGATCGAGGTAAATTTCATACTCCCGACTCGTTTTTCCACGCTGAGTTCCCCTGTGGCCAAATCGGAGCCAAAATCCCTGCCAAACGGCCGGAAAACACGGCCGAAACCCAGCGGCACCGCCGCGCCCCTCCTCGATTTTTGCCTCCGATGAGGCCCTTCTCGGCCTTCGTTTGATGCAATTTTTATATCACCGTGATCACCATTCTTTTCTCTACAGGTTGATCGGAGCTGAATCACCAAAACACGAACCTCGCCGGAGAGCCGCCGGTAAGCTTCGGTTTTCCGTAATTTTTTGGCTCCCCGAGGGCCTTAGGGTTGTTTTATCGCAGGGATCGATGCAAGTGTGGCCGAATTCGGCCGGAAACGGCCGAAACCAGCCAACCTGAGGCGAATCGCCGTCGCCGGAGCACGGCAGAGCCACCGTGCCGGAATTGCGATATTGGCCGAAAGGGGTCTGGGTCTAATTTGGGATTTTTTTGGGACATGTGCAGGTACCAGTAGTGCGTTTCAGTTCCCTGAAAAAAATTCAGGGAAAATTAGGGACAGTCTGTAGGCGCACTGTGGAGCCGTGTTCGGACCCCGAAACGAGTAAGGACCCCTCATCCTATTTCCTATCACGGTACTAAAGTTCAATAAATGATAAAACGGTGTTTCATGAATCAGTAGATGTGTGAAATTGTTTAAGGTCGCTCATGGAGCCCGAGTCTGGTGTATTTGTCGGTCAGTTGTTGTTTGTTCTATTTTATAGTTTTAAATGCAGTATGATGTATGATATTCTCATTTCATAGTTTCGTGTGCATAAATCACTGTTTTATTGATTATGGGTTGAATGACTGAGAACCCGATGTTGTATGTTGGCTTGTTTGGCATGAATTACTGGTTGCTTGTTTGTGTGTGATTTAATGATGCTGACTGAGGAAAAGGGGAATGGAAGGTTATGTAAATTGATAATTGTATAATGTAGTCAGCCTGACTAGATATCCTGGGAGATGGTGGACGGACCGGGTCCGTAGGGAACCCTACCGGGATTGTGGTCTCTTATACCGGACGGGGTATGGAGACCTTATGTGTTTTGGCGCCCATACCGGACGGGGTATGGGGACGGTCCGTTTCACCCTCATACCGGACGGGGTATTGAGATTTATAGTTTTGGCGCCCATACCGGACGTGGTATGGGGACGGCCCTGGAATCTGATTACAAGTGTTAAAGGTTCACGGATAACGGGACTACTATGGATCCCCATGGATACTAGTAGGCTGGTAAATAAGAAAAAATATGTTGTGTAATGATTGAGATGCAAAAGACATGATAAGTATTATGTTATACAGTTTCTATGATTTCGTGATGATGATAATGTTATTGCTTTCGTATATTGTTTTATGAATTTCACCGAGGTAAGTGAATGGTAAATGTTTTATTATTGATAAAAGGATTTGTTTGAAATTATGCTCCATTGGTCTTTTTGTGTTTTTTACCCACCTTTACCTCCGTGACGGTGAGATAGTGTGATGTCTTTATTGGGCTAGTGTAGCTCATTCCTTATTTAATCATTTTAGATCAGGAAGACATTGTTCCCGAGCCCGTTCCGCAGGAAGACGACGAAGGGGACGCCTAAAGACTCCATAGTCATATTCATAGTTTTTACTTTCGAGTTTCTCTTTTAGTTAGTTTGTTCTTTTATACTTTGAGCACGTTTTTGGTTTTAGTGTAAGGGATGTTAATCGAAATTTTGACTTCGCTTCCGCATTTGACCTTTTTAATACATATATTTTATTTTAAATTTCCGAGACCGTTATAATATAAATCTAAATTAATACAAAATCAGTTACAATTACCTTCAAGACATCATGCTTTGGATGAAAAGTATGCTGATTTTTCAAACTCACAAGTTGGAGGGCAGCCTCATTTGGATCAGCAAAAGAACTCCTCGACAATCAAGATTAAGTTGCATCCTGATTATCAGATTCCAAGTCAGTATAAAGCATCTTGGCAAGAATTGCAGCGTCCTACGTAGGTTTGAATCATAATTTTCAATTTCATTTTCTACTTTTGCTTAAGGTTCTCGGGTCTAGTTTAATAGTAAAATAATCTATCTTTTAATTACCTCCTCCATGAAAAAACTAACTCTGTTAGTTTTCTTGATCGGAAAATAAAATATTAAATGATTAGAGCATCCCGAGAATACTCTTTTCTATTCGCTCCAGATTATGAACTTCCTACACTATCTCCAAAAAATCCTAAAAACTTGGTAAAGTTTCCTGCCAATTTGGCTTCTTTGTGATTCTTTATATGCGAGAATGCATATGCTTTATTATTCTTGTTGCTTATTCTCTAACAACCTAACATTCTTTATTTTTTGCTCTTCTTTCTGGTGATGATTTGTCTAAACCACCATATAAATTCAAAATAGCGTAAAATCAATTGCAATCACCTTCAAAACATCATACTTTTTATGAAAAGAACGCTTCTTTGTCAAACTCACAAGCTGGAGGGCAGTCTCAATTTGAGCAGCAAAAGAACTGTCTGATAATCAAGATTAAGTTGCATCCTGATTACCAGATTCCAAATCAGTCTGAAACATCATGGCAAAAATTGCTACCTCCAACAGGGGAACACATGGGCAAGCTAAACCTTATTAAAAAACACGAGGTAAACAAACCTCAACACTTTAACTCTGAAGTATAAACATGTAGATGCACATGGACAAAAAAAATCACTAGTAATCAGGCTTAAGTTGCTTCCTAATCTATTTTGAAGCACCTTCGAAAAATTGAAATCTCCAAAAGGGCATGGTATGGGGAAGCCAAAGCTTATTCGAAGACATGAGGTGAAGCTCTCTATCTCTCAATGATAAGGATGTAAATGCACATAGGCCAAAGAAAAAAAAGTAAATTTCTGATAGTCAAGCTAAAGTTGTGTCCCCATCATAGGATTCATTCTAAAGCACCTTTACAGAATTTGCAGCTTCCAACTGGACAATGCATGGGGAAGACGATACCTTTTCAAAAATATGAGGTAAACCTATTTCTCTCTCTCTCTCTCTCACTCACAAGTATAAGCACGTAAATGTTCACAAGCACGATCTTTCATTTTCTATGTCCTTTTGCTTAGTGTGAAATTCTGGAACTTAGACATTTTCTAACCTGTTTTCATTTGTGGCGGGAGCAGTTTAAATGACCTAGGTCTTCAATTAGCTACGTAAGATTAGTATCCATTTTTTATTTTACATGGTTACATGTTAATTTCTTATAATATTTAATTTAAAAAACATATGTTTTCATGGCTGAATTATATATTATTTATATTAGAAATAGCTATCTGAAAGCTAGTTAAAATGATGGAGATATTGAATGCATGGTATTCAGTTCTAAATGGAGGAGAGGAGAAGGTATGGCAGTTTGCTTAATTCCAACTGTTTTATGCTTTTTGTTTGGATTTGTTGTGATGTCTAATCTCATAGACTGATGAATGTTTTGTATTTGCTATGCAAAAATTGTTAGGAAGGAGGACAAATTTGAGAGATTGTGAATCGAAGAATTCTCTAAAAAAATTTGACACAGTGGAGACTCCCCCATATCAAAAAATAAAGAGAGACAAAAACAAGGAGAGAAAAAGAATAGAGATGGAAAAAAAAAAGAGAGATGTTGAAAAAAAAAAAGGAGAAATTCTAAAAAAAAAAAGAAAAATATAGATTCGAAAAAAAAAGAAAAATATAGATTCTAAAAAAAAAGAGTTTGGGTGTATTTGGGATTGAGAAAGTGAGGTATTTAGATACTTTCGTAATTTTTTCATTGGACATAGTGAAATTGTTTATCGTCTTCGACCATAAATGTAGGTCTTAGTGTCAAACCACGTCAAAATGTTTGTGTCTATTTTTCTTTCATTTTTATTTGTGTTTTATTGATTGATATAACACAAGTTAACTAAGCAAATAAAATCTCAAAATAGCAATTGGTACCTTTACATGAATATCCACTGTAAAATTTTTACAAAGATAATTTTCTTAGCAACTAAACAAGGAACGAACTTTTTAGGTATAAACCATGAAGGGTTAGGAGCAGATGATGGTACTAAACTCCTTGTCATGACAAATATTTTCAGAGAGTTGTTCTACTTCAAAAAAAAGTTTTTTACGTGCTCTGATTTTAAAGATAAATTATTCTGGAATCAGGTATTGGGATCAGTACAAATATTCAAAATTTCACTCTCAATTTCTAAAAATTGAAGAATCGAATTATACAAAACTTCGTAACGAGAGGGTAAACTTACATTTTACGGTTGACTTGTCTTTTTGAATGCCAGTCGAAGAAGAACTTCTCCCTACCTACCAAACTCTTTTTTTTGTTTTCGGTTGTCAATTTCTCAGAGAAAAAAAATAACACAAAAAAAAGACACTGCCTTTAAAACAAATATTTGAGGTAATATGTAGTATATGAATGATATTTTTCTTGGTACTTATATTTTTTTTCTTGAGATAAAAAATGATAATATTATTCCCTAAATGCCAAATGTTAAGAGTGGCAATTGCATGTAATTATTAATTATATAATGTCAAAAATATAATTATTAAATTTTTTATATTCGATTATTTTATAGATATAATTTCTAAATTAACTCTGTTGATAAATTAAATTAATAAGCCAAATTTAAAATTTACGAATAAAATTTTTAGTACTTTAATTATTTTTTAATACTTAATTATCTTACAAATAAAATTTTAAATTTATGGTTTGAAACTAGTGAACCAAGTTTAGTTTTTATGACAGCATCGACTAAAGCCCATTGTTGACCATCTCCATCCAAACTTCCAATTCATCTTCTTTTTATTTGCTTCTCTCTTCTCAATCATGAAAGAAATTAATGAGCTAAAAGAGGTTGAACATATATGTATACCAAATATGACAAATTGACGATATTGTTGTGGCTATCTCCTATTTTATACTCTCAAAACTATAGCACGAAGTTTAAGCTTCTCTCTTTGTTGTTAGACCTGGACAAGGTTGTGTTCTGCAGTACTTCACATGAGCCAATGGCCTCAACAAAGGATCAGAATCTTGTAACACTAAACATCCTCTATAGTTGTAATACAAGGTATTGACGTCTGCATCATATTATCGTCGTTGTTATTATTTGTTTCGTCATCTTCAATTACAGCCACCGATCTATTCTCTACATCTAGTTCACAGTAGAATACGCCTTTGCCATCCGAGTCACCAGCGATCTGGAACTGACCATCATCTGTTCCTCGATCAAATTCTTCCTGAAATTTCATGGCATGAGTTCCATCTTTCTCACTTGTTGATACTTTCTCATTAGATACAGTGGAAACAATTGGTACCTGTTTCGTGATGTAGTCAGCAACTCTTACCTTCTCACACAACCAACAGCAAACTTAGTATTAACATCCAAAGTATGATGAAACACATTTCCAAGAAGCAAATTGCATATATATCATGGTAAATAAATACAAGACTTTGCTTCTTCAAATAGACAGTTTTTGTGAAGTTAAAGCATTAAGAATTTCATTTTGGCACCAAATCAGTCAAAAAGTATTAGAGGAAATTGGATAACAAAGCAGAATAGATATTGTATCTTTTGAAAAAGGGAAAAAGATAAGAGCTTGGAAGGGGAAAGAAATGGATTAAATTAATTCTCTCAAAAGAAATATTTCGTCTCGTCTAGGAAATTTTTTACTGACAGTCACAATTCAACAGACAGATTATCATTTCCTGAAAATCAGCAAAAGTTTTAGCTGTTGATTTGATGAAAATTCTAGAGAATCAAAGGCTGTGTTTGATAAATGGAAACATTTTTCAATTTTTCATTCCCCAAATTCATTGGTTTTTATGGATGTGTTTATACAGAAAACTATGTAATAGTTGTATTTTGTTGAATAATCTCTCACAAACAAGAATCACTTCCCAGAAAATAGTAAAAATAACATGTTTAAATTTTCAGACTCCATTTTCACTATCATTTTCTTATTTCCTAAATAACTTAAATGTTTAAGATACAAACACATGGATTTACAAAGAAAAAATTAAAAAATATCTGCTTTTATCTAACAGGCAAATTCCATCTGGTATGAAAATATTTTTTAGTTCTCATTTTCTATATTTATGTACATCTATAAGTTAAAAATATATGCAATAATAGACGATGAGAACAATGTTCTGAAAAGATAGAAACGATATAAGTTTGAAAAGAACAAAAAAAAAAAATTATTCAGTGTTTCTGGAAAATTATTTTTGTTTATACTGAAGTACAAGACATATGTGTCAGAATATTTTCTTCTATATATAAAAATATTTAACTTAAAATAATAATAATAGTGAAAATTAGAAACGTTTTCGTTATCAAACAGATTGGAGCTTCATACTTCTGTGGAAAACATTTTGTCTTCAGTGAGGAGAGTAGTAGGGTGAACTAAACATTTATTTGAATAGAGAGTGAAAAAGCCAGGCTTAAATGCAAAATTCCTCCTTGGATTAGAAGAGCCTACGTTAATTCCCTAAACTTTCAACTGCACCAATTTAAATCTTATATTTTTCAAAAATGTGTTGCAATATCATTCATCTATCAGAAACCATTGGAGGCAACATATTAGAAATGGGTTAAAAAACGTGATCATGATGTTTTAGTCAGGTTAAATTCAATAGGATATCAGGAGGCACGAAACAGATTGTGACATTACCACACATGTATATGGTCAGGTTCATGAAAAAATTCTGTGCAGTAACCTCATCAATGATTGACCAATTTGAATCACTACATGGGTATCCTAACATAAACATCCAAGTAAATACCTCCAGTGGCTTCATGATATTAGGTTCTTGATCATCGGTTTTCTCGAGAGCCTCTTGAGCTTGTAGCTCCATGGAGTCCCGAACAATCTGACGGAGGAAGGTTACATCATCAGACATAACACCAAATCCTCTCAAAAGCTTAGAGCCAAGCTGTAAACTCGTCTGCATAAATGAATTACATATAAGTCAGCACGATCAGACCAAATTCTTGGATTATATATGCTATGAATCAATTATCAGAGACAATGTGCTCTATTTATAGCAAAATTGGCACATTTTACCCATAGAACTAGAGCAGAAAAATTAAGAGGTGAAGAGCAACTGAAGTGTTATATGATGGCAATGCTCCTGTTAAATTGAGGGTAATTCCACAAAACATCAATTTGGCTGATCATGCCTTATTCTGCCGCGTTGGACAGACAAAACAAAATATGTGGGTAAAATGAGTGATGAGAATGTTTAACTGGACTTATAGAAGACATGAAGAGGATTGAATAACAACAGCAGCATCTAAAACAAAATAGAGACAATACGCTATCTAGAATAAGTTGATAGAAGATCATATAAGATTATTTGTGCAGGTGCAATGAAGACATAATTTACAAAGGCAGAAGAGGTAGTTGCTCAAAATTAAAAGAGCAAAGATTTACTAAAAGTCTGAGTTAAAATTGTGAAAAAAGACTTAGTCAAACAAATGCCAAAATTTAGTCCTTGATGAGACAAATGGAGGGAAAAAAAATGCTGTTCAATCATATACCCAACTTCAATTAATACAAAGTTAAGATTTAGTTGAATAGATTTGTATTAGTACCTCTGCATTTTCCAGAATAGCATCGGTTGCACCAGACTTTTTCAGGTCCAAAAGGTGAATAGGATCCTGAGCTCTAGCATAAATTGGGATCTGGGGTTGCTCAACATGAATCACCAACCCAAATCAAGAGAAAGAAAACAGAAAACAAGGTAAAAATTAAGAGCTACACGCATCCAACTTCTCAATATGTGATGAAAACACTGTACAAAGAAATTAAGAGAGATCCACCTTGATTCATATTAGATGACTAGTATCAAGAGGGTTAAAGCTCACTCAATTGACATGCAAAAGGATGTGCACAATTTAGGCTGGATCAGTTCAGGGACAGACTGAAACCAAAAACAGATTTCATTTGTGTTCTCTACATAGTGTTTGGGTTGCAGAATGAAATGTGCTTAAAGCAACAAGCACTTTGATGTTGTTTAGAAAAATAAGCAATTATTTATTTAGATAAAATATATCCTAAAAGTAAGTACTTCTATTTTTAATTCTTAACAAGTCGAGTTAAAGGGAAAAAGAATCCAATCTAAAATGAATTTTGGCACTCTTCTTCAATCAGGCTCTGTAGTTCCTCAGGTGGTGGCAACATTCTTAAATGGTTTCCTCATTTGGCCGCGATAACATGAGCCAGAAGTTTCTGAATATGGTTCCTGTTTACTGCAGATTTTCTTATCATTTTACATTGATGATGATTTTTCTCGACAATCCTGATATCAATAAGAAGAGAGACAAATAAAATAGTACCGCTGGAAAAGCAAGCCGCAGCCTTTGAACAGCCTCAATACTTCTCCTCCTTTCTTTGTACATGATCATAACAGCTTTTGGGGAAGAAATACCAGCAGATTGCAAAACTGATGGACGTGATCCATCTCCATAGAAAATTGGGAAACCAAGTTTTCGTGATTCCTATGGCCATCAGTTGAGGAAAAGAAAATGTCACCTCATTGCATAACAATTTTCAAGAGTATTGGAGTTGGCAAAAGACTGCTAAAAGAAGAGGGAAATGCAAGATAAAAAGTTGGCATATCCTCCACCTTGTGCCAAGCGTGAAATGCATGAAATCTTAAACAAACAGTTGTGAAGTAGAGTATTTTCCAGATGCCATATGTACCCAGAAAAAAAAAACATTCTGCTACTTATTTAGCATAGTTCTGCATCCTTGAAATACAATAATGACTATTGATATGCTTGGAAAGTGCATCCAAAATCACTGCCCTGTAAGTTTACTTCAACAAATTATCCATATTTAGGTGTGGTATTTCAATCAGACAAAAAGGAAAGTGAAAGCATAGTTTTCATGTGATAGTCTAACCTTCACAACTGAAGGATTAAGATCAAATGCCACATAAGGCCATCCCACAGGCTCACTGTCAATTCCAGAAGCCAATGGAGTGGACAAAAAATTGGCGAGGACCTGCATGTAGATATAGGAAAATCAAGTTCGGAAAACAGATACAGCTCAAAGTGAAAGATAAAAGATTCCACCACAAAGTTATGGCAAATGTACCTGTCCCATTTGTCCAAATCCAACAATGACAACTGGTTCACTACCATCAAAACTCACCAACTCAGCAGCTTTCTGTGAAAAATCCATACTTCAATTTGGCGAATCACATTTTTTGGTCAAAGAATACTTTTGTAACAAACTCCCATATAATCTACCCAACAGAGGCTAGCGAGTTGAATAAAACATAGCATCAGGATGAAGCAAGGCCAGTGACCGAAAACATTATTACCAGTTTAGATTAATTTTAGTAATTACATTCACACTTTTTTAACTCTTCACAGTTACTTTAAACAAAACCAAAGGAAAGCAAACAGTTCATTATATAAAATAACAACATAGTATATCCAGCCACCATGTTTGCCCGCAAGCAATTATAATAAACCATTAATCTTACTGTAGGAACATACATCCTCAGTATCAAATTTGCCATCGATAAACTCAGCTGCTCTTTTACCAACTTCATTAAGAAATGGAGTTAAGGCCATTGACAATACAACAACAATTATAAGCAGCTTGTTCAGCTCAAGTGGCAGCACTCCAAGCCTGCTTCAAAGAAAACAAAAAATTTAACTTGAAAAGGAAAACATGAAAATTAAACCTCAACATATGCACATTGATGTAATTTGTTATGACCTGTTAGCTAGAGAAAAAACTACAAAGCCAAACTCGCCTCCTTGGGAAAGAAGAAACCCTATTCTAACGCTTTCTTGTATAGTGAGTCCAACACGGGGACCTATTGCAGTTATAATCAGTGTCTTGATGACAATTAAACCTGCCAAGAGCGAGAGTACATTTGGCCATTCTCGGAAAAGGATCTGCAAGGAAAAAAGTGGCATGCATAAAAAGAAAATGAAGGCCAGAATTATTGATAAAAATAGACAAATATTTATATGCATTCACATATGCACACATGTATCCATGTACTACTCCATGAGACAAAGCTATTTTCTTCTCTATAGGTTTAATCACACAATAAGAAAATTGTATGCTTCATTTTTTGTGATAGTAGATTTACTTGTAATCAGAAAACACTAATTGTTGTGTTTGGTTTACTGTCCATTCAATTATCAATTCTTAGCTTGAATTCTCATTTTTACTTCAAGAAAAAATACAAATTGATTCCAATCATAAAAAAGTCAAGGTAGTAGTGGTAACTTAAGCACAACAAATTATATTATAATTATGCATACAAAACTAATATAAAATTAGCACTACAAATTGATCAGGGATTAAATAGGAACTGTACCAACACAACCTAAAAGTACCTGCATGTCTATGGAAGTCCCTGTTGTTACAAAAAACAACCCAAGAAGCAGACCTCTAAATGGCCTAATGTCAGCTTCAATCTGTGTCCGGAAATTTGTTTCTGCCAAAAGTGCCCCAGCTAGAAATGCTCCAAGCTTCAGCATGAAATTAGATTCAATTATTACATGGACATATGAACTATTATTTTAACCATTTTCTATATTGGAAAGGGAGAAACCGTATCACTGAAGCCCAACTTCTGGGTGACAAGTGATATGCCAGACACCGTTAGAAGGCAGAGGGCAACAAAAGCCTCTGAGCTCCTTGTTTCTGCAACAACCTGAATTTGATTAACTTAGTTCACGGTCTACAATCTATAAAACATGAGTTTAGAGCTTCAGAGGAAATAAAAAAACTGCAGCACAAAACAGAAGAAAGCATGATTCATACCTCGAAAACTCTCCGGAGAAGATACTTTCCTCCAAGGGAAAGAAGTCCCAATCCACCTAATGCCTTCAGGCTTTCTGTAGCAAGCATTGGCCAGATACTTTCTTCACCTAGATTCTGCAAAATAAGAATCAATATATCAAGATAGTAGATCAATTCCTAAATATGGATATGGTAAATCCAGTACATGAAAAATCGAAGTAAAAGCAAAGATTAATTTTTCATGCTAACTTGCCCTTCATCATCTAACTACAGAAGACAATCTCCCAGTTCATTTGCATAAAAGCTCCTTCAACAATTAAGCATGATAAGAGACAAAATTTGGACCCCTGACTCAATTATAATCATAAATATCAGTTATTTATTGACATCATAAAGTATACTATAAACTTTATCCACCTTAAAAAGGTGGGAATTTGTGAGAAGTAATTTAATACACATGAAAACATACCCATGCCCCTAGTCCTCTACTGTCCCAGAGAAAAATATTGACATTTATGCATTAGCTTACCTAAAAGAGACAATGAAATTCTTTTACCTGGCTCTCAAGCACTGGAAGGATGACTAACAAAGGAACAACAGCTATATCCTGCAAATTACAGACAGGGCAATCCAAAAGTTATTGGCATCATAGTTTTAATGTCTATTTCTGGAAGACAACCATGGTGATATCCACAAACACAGATAATAGAAATCTATTTAATGCATAGTGAAGCCAATTATGAGCACAAAATAAACCTGTAAAAGAAGTATCCCCAAAGTTGCTGAGCCAAATCTTGTAGGGAGCTCACCCTTCTCTGCAAGAAGCTACATATTACGAATCATGAGCTCTATTACATTCTTTACAGCTGTGGTAGCCACGTAAAATATTTCATTAAACAAGATGTAAAACAGAAAAAGATTAAGATGTTATTTTTCTTCTCTTTTCCATTCTTTCTTCATTAGCTGTGTTCATCTGCATACTTTTTATTTTTGCTTTTTGATAAAAGACTATGCTTTTATTTTCATATCCCTTTTTTTTTATTTTTAAACAGTTGGTGTAAATTAGTTGAGTGAAAATACTAGTCCACCACATAAAATGTGAGGCTTTAGCTATAACTGGGGATTGCTAAAATTAGACGACAACCAACAAAAAGAGATGCATATATATCATAATCCCATAAATTGAGTGTACGTGTAGTTTTTGTCATGAATAATTTTGTTATATTTCTCATTAAATAATACATCTCCATACATACATATATAAGTTTTAGAACTAAGAAAAAGAAAGTTACAATTAATTACAAAAGATGTATTTTACTTTAATACTTTTTAACCTAGTTTAACCTTATTTACCCATAAAGTACATTCTTTGACACTCTTCTGCAAGCTGGCAAATATATGTTTATCTATCCCCAGCTTGGTAATGATGGTTTGGAATGTTGGACTACTCAAGTATTTGGCCAATATGTCTATAAGTTATTACTTGGTAGGCACATAAGGTATACGTATTAAGCCATTGTCTACCTTCTCTTTGATAAAATATCTATCAACTTCAATGTATTTTGTCATGTCATTCTGTACAGTATTGTGAAAAAGGCTTACTATCAATTTTTTTCACAGTAAAGATGTATTGGGATAAGTTACCAATTTTTATTATCAGTTCATGTCGTGTCGGTATAAGTTTCAAGGATCAACATCTTATTCTTTTTAAATATGTCTTTCTTGATGTTTTCTTCAAGTAGTGTAATATTTTATAGGTCACCTATAGGTGCACCTCTTTAGAGTTGTGCATGAACTGGTTTAACACACGAAGTCTTGTATGCGATAGGTAAATCAACCTCCCAACTAGTCTGGTACATTTCCTTATTTATTTTTGTGTCCTTTTCTGCTGGTCTTAACTTATGGGTAGGGTCAATAGGTGTACAAATTAGTTTACATGCTTATTCACGCATATCTTTTAATAGATTATTTATATTTCAATATTTTTTTTCATGTCATATTGTACAGGATTGCGAAAAAGGTTTATTACCAATTTTTGTCTTAGTAAAGATGCATTGGGATAAGTCACCAATTTTTATTACTAATTCATG